AAAAATAAAAGAGATTATGTGAAACCAAGTACTCAATTGATCAAAGATGGAGAGAGCTTATAATAAAGAGAGAATTGAGAAAAATTATAATCCCCTTCCTAAGTCTAATATTGAGATATTTATAAGATATGACATAAAGTCACCCTAACATTACAATTTTACTTAAGTTGGTGTTTGAGTATTCTAGTTTTAAAGGAATTTAATTTATCTAATCTTGATAGAACTCTTTTAGGATACATCCATGTGTCCTCATTCTTATAAGACTCATTTTAGGGAATAACAAGTCCCATTTTCCTTTTTGCCATCTTTTTATATAGAACACATAATTGTTTACCTTTAAATATATTTTTAATCTTAATAATCCAATATCCAATCTCTAGTAAGGCGATTTGCTATTAGGAGGGAATGAAATAAAAATCTACAATAATGGATAAACTTATCAACTTATTCTCTTGATCATACTTAGAAAAATAAATACAATTACAGAAACGAATAAACCAATGGCCAAAAACTTTCATCACCCAAACCTTCTCTTGTTTGGTTGTGTAAATTCATGGAGGGTATGATCTACATCCTATATATGGTGGGGACTCTCAACAATAATGCATTGTGATATGGAACTATGTGTTGACTCATATGTAAATGGGTTGTCTCTAATGTTAATGGGTGGCATATCCTTAAACCATTTGAATAAAATTTTCTTTATTTATAGAAAAAAGAAAAAGAAAAAGAAACACCTTCCATCACTCAAGAAATTGTTGTTTACATTTATTTTATCTTTAAGATGCTATGTGTATTGTCTCTTTTTTTTTTTTTTTTATCTTTTTTAAAGGGTGTGGTTATAATCACCTATTAAATTATCCAAACTACACACTATAATTTAAAAAATATTAATTTTATTTGATTTTATTGTTAAAAATAAATAATAACTAATAAAATAATTAATATTTATTACTTAATAAATTAAAATTAATTTATAAATTGATATTTTCAGACATTATAACTAACTTACAATTTAAAAAAAATTTCAAATATCAATCAAATTAAGCACAATTTGTATAATTTTAACAATTTAATAGGCGATCATAACCACTCCTGTTTAAGTGGAACCCATAATTGTTTATTTTTGAAGTTGCTTTTAATTTCATCATGCAACTCAAACTTTTAATAGCTAGGATGATTTGAAATTAGTTCATAATCCAACAAAAGCTGCTTTCAATCCCAATTCCGTTGATAATGAATATATTGTTGCTATCTCCAGTGGCAGAGCCAGGGGGTGCGAGGGGGGCGCTCGCCCCCTGAAATTTGAAAATCTTGTAAATTAGTATATGAAAAATTATTTAACCTTCCTTGAACTTTGAAAATTTTAATATTTTACCCCTCCTGAAAAAAATTTCTGCCTCCGCCCCTGGCTATCTCCCTTTGATAATTAACCAAATCAAACCTTTTTGTCATCCTTAGAATAAAAACGATTACAAGTACGGAAACAAATATATTAATATCCTAAAATCCAAAATGCAAAAGTTAGTTATTTACATTATTTTTTATCTTCAAGATATACTGTATTAATTTTTTTTTATTGCCAATTTTAAATAAGACACATAATTATCTGCTTTTAAACTAACTTTTACTCTCAATAAACCAAGATCTAAACTCTTCATTGGGCAGTTTGCAACTGATAAACAATTCAACAAAAGTTACTTTCAATCCAAATCCCATGTACAATAATCTAATTACTTTTTTGCTATCTCACTAAGTTAGACTATTCTCTTTGTTATCCTTATAAAAAGGCAAATACACGAACAAAAACAAATATTCAAATTTTTATCACTCAAAAATTTGTTGTTTGCAGTACTTATCCCCTGGAGATTTGGCATGTATTGTCCCATAAATAATGGACGAAGAAGTCGCAAGCCAATAGAAAACCAGACGGACATGGCATCTCCACGTCCGTTCGTTCACCTTTTTATTTATGATTAAATTTATAAATTAGTCCCTAAACTTAACTATTGAAAATTATTTTGAGCCATCAACTTTTAAATTTATTTTTTCTCCCAAACTTTTTTTAAAATGTAATATAGAGTTTAATATTTAAGGTTTATATATGGTTTAATACTCTTAGAATTTAAAGGTTAGTAGTCAAAGTTATGGTTTAGCATTTAGGGCTTATATTTTTAGAATTTAATTTGTGATGAGGTTGGGAATTAGAATTTCTATTATTAGAATTTAAGATTTAATATTTAGGATTTAGGGTTTATATTTTAGAATTTAATATATAGAGTTAAACTTTAAAAGTTTAGAATTGAATAATTTAAATTTTATGTTATTATTTAAAATTAAAAAATATCATAAGACCTAAAATTATAACTTACTAGACCAAAAATTTAAACGCGAAAGGCAAAGGATCGTTAGGTTCCAAGTCGGGTAGGGGGCTTAAAATTGTCTGCTTTTAAATTTGTTTTTAAATTTCAATTTCAATAGTTAAATATCCAAACTCTTACCAATCCCATTTGCAAATGGTAGAGACTACGACAAAAATTGTTTTAATCCCAATTCCATCAGAAATATGGATGAATTTTTCTACTGTATTTTACTGTAGTAATCAACTAATTAATCAAATTGTTTTCTTGGTCATCCCTGGAAAAAAGTACCAGTACAAAAACAAATAGCCCAAATTCCAAATTTTCATCACCAAAAATTTGTTGTTTATATACTTGTACCCTCGAGATATGCCACATGCATGTGTATGGTCCCATTTTTTCTTTTACCATCTCTTTAATTAGTTAAGACACATAATTGATTACTTTTAAACTTGCTTTTATTTTTAATTGAAAATGATGTACTAGCTGCAATATTACATAATATTATCTAAACTCTTGAAAGAGCAATATACAATTGGTAGATAATCCAATAAAAATTACTTTCAATCCTAATTTTGCCCACAATAATAGATATATTTTTTTATCTTACTTTAATAATCAACCAAATCAAACTGTTTGCTAGATCATCCTTATAAAAATACAAATACAAACTACAAAAACAAATAAACAATCATCCAAACCTTCATCACTCAAAAATTTGTTGTTTATATTACTTTTGTCCTAGAGATATTATTGTCTGTATTGTGCTATTTTTTCTTTTGCCACCTTTTTAGATGGGATATATAACTGCTTGTTTTTAAACTTGTTTTTAATCTCAAGAGAACAATAACCAAACTTTCAATAAGGCGATTTGCGTGGCAAATCCAACAAAAATTGTTCTTAATCCCAATTCCTCCTATAATAATGGATATAGTTTTGCTATCTTTAGTAATCAACCAAAGATCAAAATTTGTTTTCTTGATCATGCTCATAAGAAAAAAATAATAATAATAAACATATTGACCAATATCCAAATTTTCATCACCCAAAAATTTTTTGCATGCATTACTTCTATATCCTCAACCTACTGCGAGTATCGTCTCATTTTTTACTTTTATTATCTTTTTTTGGTGAGACACATAATTGATTATTTTTAAAATCACTTTTAACTTCAGTAACTCGATACGCCAACTTGCTTTTAATAAACAACGAGAATGACTTCACTTCAATTCTTCGAGGCCATAAATGGCTATATATGGGACTCCTCATAGTGTGGTGAGTGCACAAGTGAGCCTAATATATGGCAGTGTAATTGTCAAACTTGTCATGGGTTTTGCCTATCTTTACAACAACCTGAAAACTCTTCTTCTCCATGGCATGAGAGAAGTGGAGGCTGGTAGTGGGATTGACTGTGATTTGCACTCAATCCTTTGGGAGCCTTAATGGGAGCATTGTAGATATATTTGGTGTTGGGCCGACATAAGTGACACTCCTCCACAAAACACCTACTGTTTGTTGTAGGCCTGATTTTAAGAGAAGCTGCATAGATGGGTACGTCGTTTAGACTTCAGAGCATCATTGCCATATGCAGAAAGCAAAGAGGAGCAGTTCATGGCTTTTAATCCCTTGCAAGGAACTATATATAAGACATCTAATATCCATGTCATATATTAAACTAGGATTTATTCCGAGCTCTAGAGGGATTCAGTCCAGCACCATAAGTGAACTCAGCCTCATTGGTTCTGCTATTCATGCATGAAATTAGGAATTAAAAT